GTATTATTATTATTATTATTATTATTATTATTATTATTATTATTATTATTATTAGTGTGTATACGTCCTGGTATGCCATTTTCATTCATTAAAATAGTATGGAAGTTTTACCCTGAAATAACGTGAATAAGTCTCTTTTGAACGCTATCACTGCCGCCCCAGAGTCGTACTCTAGCTTCTCCACACAGAGGTTTGTACTTCACCTCCTACACACAGAGGATCGTACTCCAGCACACACACAGGGTCGTACTCCAGCTCCGCTCCTGGTTTACAAGTTTGTACATTAAGTTAGTCAGACAAGCCTCTCACATCTTTCCTTTGGTTAACCATCTTAGATTTCAGTTTTTCTTGCTTAGTCATTCTTAGTTTTTCGTTGTCTTCAATGGTTCTCTGCTTCTCTCCTTCCTCTCTGTTCTCTGCCTCTCTCCTTCCTCTCTGTTGTCTGACTCTCTCCTTCCTCTCTGTTCTCTGCCTCTCTCCTTCCTCTCTGTTGTCTCTCTCCTTCCTCTCTGTTCTCTGCCTCTCTCCTTCCTCTCTGTTGTCTGACTCTCTCCTTCCTCTCTGTTCTCTGCCTCTCTCCTTCCTCTCTGTTGTCTCTCTCCTTCCTCTCTGTTCTCTGCCTCTCTCCTTCCTCTCTGTTCTCTCCCTCTCTCCTTCCTCTATGTTCTTTGCCTCTCTCCTTCCTCTCTGTTCTCTGCCTCTCTCCTTCCTCTCTGTTCTCTGCCTCTCTCCTTCCTGTCTGTTCTCTGCCTCTCTGTTCTCTGCCTCTCTCCTTCCTCTCTGTTCTCTGCCTCTCTCCTTCCTCTCTGTTCTCTGCCTCTCTCCTTCCTCTCTGTTCTCTGCCTCTCTCCTTCCTCTCTGGCTGTTACATTCAATTTTTCCTAAGTCATTTATATCTTCGTTTTGATGTTTCTTATTTTCTCTTTTTTTTTTTAATCCCTTCTACTTAGCTCTTATATTTCCTCATATTATTCCATTAATCATTTCCCCTCACTCCCTCTTCCAACATACACCATACGTCAAGTACACAACTCACAGTAATCCTAAAATTCACCAAACAGCAAATATACAATCCACAATTCCTTCAAAATTCTCCCCTACGTGTAAGCCCAAGCCACATCACACACACTGATGGAGCCAAGCAAGCCAGTTAAGTCATATGTGCCCTGGAGTCAATAAATGAAACAAACTAGCGGAGGTAGAGAGAGAGAGAGAGGGAGAGAGAGAGAGAGAGAGAGGAGAGAGAAGAGAGAGAGAGAGAGAGAGAGAGAGAGGTTTTAAAGTCTCATCCCGCTGCTCTTTTGTCATGGCGGAAACCATGTGGGTAAGCCCATTTGACGAACCACTGACTTGGAAACCTCCCATTGAGTCTTCTCCCCTCCATCCCTCCCTACCTCCACCCATCCTACCTCCACCCATCCTACCTCCCTACCTCCACCCATCCTACCTCCCTACCTCCACCCATCCTACCTCCCTACCTCCACCTTTCCTACCTCCCTACCTCTACCCATCCTACCTCCCTACCTCCACCTTTCCTACCTCCCTACCTCTACTCATCCTACCTCCCTACCACTATCACTATCTACCTACCTGCATACATCCATCTCTCCCTACTTACCTCCATCCATCCATCCCTATCTACCTATCTCCATCCCTACCTATCTTCACCAATCCACCCCTCCCTACCTATGTACCTCAAACCATCCCTCTCTACCTACCTCCCTACTTCCATCCATCCACCCCTCCTACCTCCATCCATCCATCCCTCCCTCCCTACCTCTATCTATCCATCCCTCCCTCCCTACCTCTATCCATCCATCCCTCCCTCCCTACCTCTATCTATCCATCCACCCCTCCCTACCTCTATCCATCCCTCCCTCCCTCCCTGTCTACCTCCTTCCCTCCCTACCTACCTCCTTTCCTCCCTACCTACATCCATCCCTCCCTCCTAACCACCGTCCATCCATCCAACCCTCCCAACCTTCCTTCCCCTAGTCTTCCTTCCCTCCCATCCACCATCCTCCTAGTCCTCCTTCCACCTCTCCTCCTTCATAACCTTCCATTTTTTCTTCCATTCCTCACCTGCCACTGTGTTACCACTGTTACCACTGTGTAACCACTGTGTTACCACTGTGTAACCACTTTGTTGCCACTGTGTTATGCAGTGCATCGGGTATGAGAGGTAATCAGTATTGATTCTAGGGGAAGAAAGCTCCAATTCCTTGGATCAGGAGTCCTACAAACTATTTTGTGAAGCTAGTGTAAGGGAGTGTATTAATTCAGTGTAAGAGACGGTGTACCAACCCAGCGTAAGGGAGTGTACTCAGTGTAAGGGAGTGTACCCAGTGTAAGGGAGTGTACTCAGTGTAAGGGAGTGTACTCAGTGTAAGGGAGTGTATTAATTCAGTGTAAGAGAGGGTGTACCAACCCAGCGTAAGGAAGTGTACTCAGTGTAAGGGAGTGTACCCAGTGTAAGGGAGTGTACTCAGTGTAAGGGAGTGTACCCAGTGTAAGGGAGTGTACTCAGTGTAAGGGAGTGTACCCAGTGTAAGGGAGTGTACCCAGTGTAAGGGAGTGTACTCAGTGTAAGGGAGTGTACCCAGTGTAAGGGAGTGTACCCAGTGTAAGGGAGTGTACTCAGTGTAAGGGAGTGTACCCAGTGTAAGGAAGTGTACTCAGTGTAAGGGAGTGTACTCAGTGTAAGGGAGTGTACCCAGCGTAAGGAAGTGTTACTCAGTGTAAGGAGTGTACTCAGTGTAAGGGAGTGTACCCAGTGTAAGGGAGTGTACCCAGTGTAAGGGAGTGTACCCAGTGTAAGGGAGTGTACCCAGTGTAAGGGAGTGTACTCAGTGTAAGGGAGTGTACTCATGTAAGGGAGCGTCCCCAGTGTAAGGGAGTGTACCCAGTGTAAGGGAGTGTAACCCAGTGTAAGGGAGTGTACCCAGTGTAAGGGAGTGTAACCAGTGTAAGGGAGTGTACCCAGTGTAGGGAGTGTCCCCAGTGTAAGGGAGTGTACTCAGTGTAAGGGAGTGTACTCAGTGTAAGGGAGTGTACTCAGTGTAAGGGAGTGTACTCAGTGTAAGGGAGTGTACTCAGTGTAAGGGAGTGTACCCAGTGTAAGGGAGTGTACTCAGTGTAAGGGAGTGTACTCAGTGTAAGGGAGTGTACTCAGTGTAAGGGAGTACATTCAGTGTAAGGGAGTAGTGTAAGGGAGTACATTGTAATATCGTAAGGGTTCTTGAATGGAGATATCGCAGGTTGAAAGTAGACACACTTGTAGGATGGTAGATATATTGTCAGACTGAGATGGGAGATGGAGCCACAGTTACCTAGCCTGTTTACGTCTTGTAGGTCTGCCGCTGAGTGAGTGCGGGACAAAGGGATCACTGCCCATGTGTATGCCCATGACGTCATACCAAGCCAAAGGCCTACGAGGGATCTCGTGTCTAAAGCACATGGAGGATACTAATATGCTATGCTATATAATACAGGGAATACAGGGATCAGCAACTATGCTGACAGCTCGTCATGTTACGTATGTCGTCCCGACATACACTACTATCTATAGGCTGAACAGGCAGGCGGATCTGGGCTGATTCTATACAATAACAAATGCATATATAACTTAGAACTAATGGATGGTACAACATGATTTTGACGTAATGGGTGTTAACGTAATCATTACAAACTATAAGTACAAATCATTATACAATATGGATGGAATTGATCGATCGATCTGTATTCATGCACTCTACGGATTCTGAGGAAGAATAATTATATACAAAGAAGTGTTTAACAGAAAGGCAGATTCGGTGCACACAAATCTAGACTGTTAATTCTCAGAATACGGAGGGAACGTGAACACGAAAATTTCTGACAAACTGATCAGCTAATAATAAACACACAGTTGACAAATTCATTCATCTCGGACATCTAATTATGCAGGCTGTTTACACTTAAACCCAATTCTGCGAGGGCGAGGTTTACGTATGCAGAATGGTTATCATCTCTGGGAGGATTGAATTCCTCTGCAATGGCTAACACATGCCTTGACTGAGAGATCTGAACGAGTATCTACAAAAGATACAACTACAATCACTAGTGACTGTGGAATTACTAACTCGTCTGCTAGGAGTACTCAACTCGACTATTCGATACAGTAATTCTTGGCTCGTTACAAAGTCACTAATGGGTACTGGTGGCTTCACAGTAAGAATAAGATCTTCCTGGAGCAGGAATCGAATCACACCAGAACACAAGGGATCGGTTCTTTGGGAATTTCTGACAACCTCGACAGTAAATGGAGGATCTGCAGTAACTACACTAACGTGTCGCGATAAAGCATCTGCGACTACATTTGACTTGCCAGGTAAATTTTCAAAAGTGGGATTGAACTCTTGGATAGTCAAGGTCCATCTGGCTAACCTTCCAGTAGGCTGTTTGTTCTGGAATAAAGGTAACAGTTCTTCCTTACTGGAGGAAAGAACAAACTCGGTGGAGTGGATGACTCCCCCCGGTTGAAAAATTAACGCTATAACACGCAATATGAGCAAGGGAGAACGAATCTACTATCTCAAACTGCAAACACAGGAGAAAGAAATGAACACGGTGAACAATGCTGATATTCAATCTGAGTCGCACACAGTGACACGAGGTATCAGCTATAAGAAACTACACTTACAAACGTTAACATGTGAAAGTTACTCGAGAAATAACTTCTTACAATGCACTGATTACTGTCAACTAGGATGGGATCACCATCTGAAACACAAGGAACAACAACAGACACTCTAGTGAGAACACTTGCTGTAACAGAGACGTCTTTCTGCAGACAGCATGTCACATCAACAAGAGATGGCATTACTAGTTCCAAGTAATCGTTTTCTGACAAGGCATCCCCTGTGGAGAAACTACTACTCGAACTAGCAGTCATTGCAGGATAGGCTGTGCACATCAAGGCAGTCTGAGTGTCCCCGGACACTTGAGGCAACGGAACACTA